ATCGGGTGTAATCGATAGTTCGAATTGATAAATGCTATTGGGTTATCGATATTGGATTATTGGGTAAATAGTTCGATAAGGGTTTAATGTGTTAGTATTCTGTATTCGAAAATATATTCAAAAATAGAAACAATGTAAAATCAGAAATGTAGAAGAGCGGAATTAATTCGAGCCTACTGAATTCACAATGTTTTCTTAAGGAACTTAATCCCCTCATAGTACCCGAGTTTCCTCCCAGGATAGAACAGATTACCCTTACTGGTGTAGCGGTACTTCAAATCCCAGTGAACAACGAACTCAAAGATCATTAGCAAATCACACTTACTGCTTTCTTTCTGTTAAAAACAATGGAAGGAAGAAGGAGAAATCAGAATTTTTTGTAAGGAAAATCTGAGGGAGGGTTCATGTACTTATAGCCAAAACATTGGGTGATACCGAAGAGTTGTAACTCTTCATGTAAGGTTGCAACTCAAAATGGTTGTTTTATAAAATGGCCATTCACGCAAATCGCCAAATTAAAATTATAACGGGAAAATTAAAACGAAGGAAAAATTAAATTACCGTTACAGAAAAGGTCTAATTTGGATTAAATAATATTACGTTAATATCAACAAATAAATTTTGTCCAAAAGATTAATCAATCAAGTCATTTGACCGAAGCCGAAGCCGAAGCCGAGAGACGACGATGGCGCGAGGCTTGCCTTTTTCTCAACTCTTTAAGAGCTAGAAGAAGTGCAATTATATATATACCCATCAAAACTCTTTTCCTCCTCCAATATGGGACAATGTCCCTTTGTCCAAGAGGAAAATTCAAAAATTTTATTTTTTCCTCCATTTCCCATTCACTCCATTTTTAAGCTCTAACAAGCTTAAAACCCAACAATCCCCCACATGAATGGGGAATGACTATATCACGGAAATATGAATGAAAAACTGTGTGATTTACAAGCAAGGATTAATCGCATCTGGATAAGTAGGTTTCCCTTTAAACTTTCCGTAGTGAACTTATGTCGGATATACACCATCAATCGGTAGATTTAATATCTTTGAACCGTCGAACTTTGGTATATACCTAAGAAACCATAAGTCACACAATCAGCCCTTAACCTTCTTTGGTTCTTGTTGTTGTGTCCATTTCAGCCATGAACACTGCCTGGTTTCATACATGCGTAGAGAATTGGCATTGCAAAATTCTCCTTGAAGCGGCTAACACTTCACACTTACATAGGTGATTCCTAAAAGTGTCATCCCATAGATACACTCTTTGATATACCCTGTACCAAATTTAGAAATCATTAAAAAGCCTTAATGCTTAATTCTTGGTACTGAACATTGTCTCATCACGAGAATGGACCAATTAGTTGACAATATTGAACCATCATTAATGACTTTGTTTGATCTTCTTGAACCTAGATCTTGGGATCTCCAGTCTTCTAGGTAGAGTTACCGCCACAATGACTTGTCCTCGGTCATAGTCTCATTCCCCTCAATGATCTTTCAACTACCTCTCTACTTAGGCCTTTTGCAAGCAGATCCCGCACATTATCGCTTGACTTTAAGTAGTCAATTGTGATAATCCCCCTAGAGAGTAGCTTCCTAACGGTTTTATATCTTCGCCGTATATGACAAGAATTATTGTTATACATAACGCTCCCAGCCCTTCAAATTTCCACTGAACTATCACAATGTATGTATATTGGTGCCAACGGTTTGGGCCAAAATGGAATATCTTTCAAGAAATTTCAGAGCCATTCAGCTTCTTCACCGGCTTTATCTGAGGCTATAAACTCAACCTCCATTGTAGAGTGAGAAATACAAGTTTGTTTGGACAACTTCCAAAATACCGCTCCTCTACCAATAGTGAATACATATCCACTTATGGATTTAGAATCGACTCAACCGATGACTCAATTTGCATCACAATATCCCTCAATTAACACAAGATAATTACCGTAGTGCAAAGCAAACTCTTGGGTATGTTTTAAATATCCCAAAATTCATTTCATCGCCATCCAATGAGATTGACCTGTATTACTCATGTATCAACTTAATTTGATTATAGCACAAGCTATATTTTGTCGAGTACAATTCATGATATACATTTAACATCCCAACACACGAGCATAATCTAATTGTGATATGCTTTGGCCTTTGTTCTTTGCAAGTGCAAGATTCACGTCAATTGGAGTCTTTAAAATCTAAGTACTTGAATTTTTCAACTATTGTTTTAATGTAATGAGATTGCGACAATACCAGACCTTAAGGAGTCTTATGGATCTTAATTCCCCTAATTAAATTGACAACTCCCAAGTCTTTCATATCAAACTTACTAATTAGCATACCCTTAATCGCATTTATGTTGGTAATGTCATTACTCATTATCAGTATATCATCCACATATAGACAAACAATGACTATGTGATTTGTAACATTTTTAGTGTACTCGCATTTATCAAATGCGTTTATATTAAAAATCACTTGACAATATTGTTTGGTCAAATTTCGCATGCCATTGTTTGGGTGCTTGTTTTAGTCTGTAAAGCAACTTAACAAGTCTACATACCTTCTTTTCTTTATCTGGAACCACAAACTCCTCAGGTTGTTCCATGTAAATTTCTTCATCCAAATCTCCATTTAAGAAAGCCGGTTTAACGTCCATTTGATGAATTTCAAGACCATATACCGCTGCTCATGCTACTAACGTTCATGTGGACGTAATTCTTGTAACTGGAGAGTATGTATCAAAATAGTCAAGCCCTTCTCCTTGTCTATACCCTTTTACCATAAGTCTTGTCTTATATTTGTCAATAGTATCATCATCTTTGATTTTCCTCTTAAAAAAATCGTTTAGAACCCAACAGTTTATTGCCTGGAGGAAGATCAATCAATTCCCATGTATGGTGGTTCAGTATGAATTTTATTTCACTGTTGACTGCCTCTTTCCAAAATAATGATTCGGAAGAAGATATTACTTCTTCAAATGTTGAGGCTCATTTTTTCATAAGAAAGTCACAAAATCTAGTCCAAATGAAGTAGACGTTCTTTGACGTTTACTACGTCTTGGATCCTCCTGATTATACGTACTTTCTTTTGTTTCTTCACGATGTCGTTTAGATCATTCATCAATCGACTCACACTACATTTTATACAGATATATATATTTTCGAAAATTTAGCATTATCTGAATATATAACCATATTATTATGAATGTCGGGATTTTCTGCTTTATGAGCCAGAAATGGATGTGCTTTACTATTTGTTGCATATCCAATAAAAATACAATCCATAATTTTCGGTCCTATCTTTACCCTTTTGGGTTTAGGAACTTGCACTTTTTTCCAAACACCCCCACACTTTAAAATAACTCAAGTTGGGTTTCCTTCCTTTTCATTTTTCATATGGAATGGATTGCGTTTTGCTATGGGGTACTCGATTTAGTATCCGGTTAGCCGTAAGAATGGCTTCCCTCCACAAGTTATGTGGCAAACCAGAACTTATTAACAAAGCGCTCATCATCTCCTTTAATGATTGATTCTTTCTTTCCGCAATCCCATTGGATTGGAGCGTGTAAGGGACCGTTGTTTGATGAATAATTCTATATTCTAAATATATTTCTCCAAAAGAAGATCCGTATTCACCACCCCTATCACTTCTTTTCATTTTGATTTTCTCTCTAAGTTGCGTTTGAACTTTATTTTTGTATTGCTTGAATGCATCTATTACTTCATATTTACTACCAAGTAAGTAAACATAGTAATATTGAGTACTATCATCAATAAAATTTATGAAATACTTCTTTCCACCACGAGATAGTATTGACTTCATCTTGCAAATATTTGTGTGAATTAAGTCCAAAGGATTTGAATTCCTTTCAATTGACTTATAAGGATGTTTAGCATACCTAGATTCCAGACATATTTGACATTTTGATTTGTCGCATTAAAATTAGGCAATACTTTCAAATTAATTATTTTACGCAAGGTTTTATCATTGACATGTCCCAAACGTATATTCCATAAATCATTTGACTCAAGTAATTAAGAAGAAGATGAAATTTTATTATTGTCAACAACCAATACATTCAGTTTGAAAAGGCCTTCAGTAAGGTAACATTTTCCTAAGTGCATCTCATTCTTACTTATTACAACTTTGTCTAAAACAAACACATACTTAAACCCGTTCTTGATGAGAAGTTAAATAGAAACTAAGTTCTTCCTTATTTCAGGAACATGACAAACGTTATTTAGAGCCACCACCTTGCCATAGGTCAACTTCAAGAATATCTTTCCATAACCATCAGTTTTGGTCGTTGTAGAATTTCCCATAAAAATTGTCCCGTCGGGTCCAATGGGAGCATATGAAGAAAATGCTTCTTTAACAGAACAAACATGGTGGGTGGCTCCATAATCAATCCATCATGCACAAGTCATCAATATCATCATTTGTTTCGACCATATTTGCTTGACCCTTTTTCTTCTCTTTCTTTAGAGCATGATATTTTACAACTTTGTGTCCAAGCTTTCCACAGTTATGGCAGGTTCCCTTGAATTTCTTCTCGCTGGGATAGTTCTTTGGTTCAGAAGACTTCTTTCTCTTTTACGAATTAGTTGGAGCAGTCTCTCAACAATATTTGGTTCCATAATTGTTGAGTTTCCACGTGTCTTTGTAGCGTTATTGTCCTCTTTGATCCTCAATCGAACGATGAGATCTTCGAGTTTCATCTCCTTGCACTTATATAGTGGGTGGGTGGTGATTTCCCAGCCATTTGATCAAGGGAGATCAACGGCCAAGTTGGCCGTTACTCGAACGACGTCGTTTTGGGGTTAGTGGGGCAAGCTGGACCGGGCATGGGGACTGGGCTGGGCGGAACTGGGTCAAAAGGGGTTTTGGGCCACTAAACATTACTAAGAGACATCCCCGCTATATATATTTAGTGATTCGAGGGTTTATTTTATTAGTTTTAATAGAGGAGGTAGGATGGGCAGTTCGTCAGATCTAGT